TCCTTTGGCTCACAGGCCCCCAGTAGCTACTCACTGTCAAGTGTCATAGAGTCTCACCATATTCATGCAGAGCTTTGTATTTCACCAAAAGAGATCCCACCTCCCCAGTACCCTGCTCCACAAATTCCAGCCATCCTAGAAGCCCTGAACACAAACCGTTTTCCTCTGCCGGTCAAGATGCTGCTCCTTGGACTCTAGCTCCCCGTACAATGATGTGTAAAGGGCCCCCAGGCAGAAAACCATGGTGAGTGTTCAGTTCACCTCATATCCTTTCCCTTTTTCCAGGGAAAAGACCTCTTGTGCTATTTCCCAATGCCTGCAAACAGTTCCCTCACAGATTTTGTCCAGTTTTATAGTTGTTCACAGCAGGAAAACAATTCCAATACCGAAAATTCCATATGGCCAGAATCGGAAGGCTCTATTTCGATGTTGAATACCTTCATAAATGGCAAGTCCCAGTTCTTAGTTGAAATTTAAATCCACTTACTTTATCTGTCCTCATGGAGGTAAATAACTCATAATAACTCTTCCATGTTTGACACTATTAAGACCAACAAGAAAGAAAAAGCCACTTCTTTGTCTTCTTTTCAGTTTCTGCCATCTTATCTCTTTAGACATTGAATTTCTCTCCTCTGTACTCTCTCTGGTTTTTCCATTCTTATCTTAAAACTCAGAGACCAAACTTCCATCTACAAACACACTGCCCTACGGTATTTGGTCGGATCTTGGTGCAGTCGACAGGTGCTGTTTTCTGTGCCCAGTATCTCAGTTATCCTTTGGGAAACTCTCCTTCCCCAACTTCAGTGAGTGTGGTTCTAGAGAGAAATGCTTCATTCTTAAATGACTCTACCTCCCTGACCACAGTTGACTGGTTCAATCGGTAGCCACCTAGCCCAATTTGAACCAAAGTTCTTCCTTAGCAATTTTTCCACTGAACTTGAGGACAAAATATTAACTCTCTAAAGGCAAGACCTGCAGAATTTGGTGCCATGTTCTCTGCCCATGGAGGGAACAAATCTGAGTCTTTTCGGTTAGCCAGAAATTCAATATCTCAGTGGTGGGTAGATAATGGGCTGAATGCGACATAAGATGTCAAGTACAGGGCATGAATAAGTTACTTCAATTGTATGTAACCAAAATAGCCCATTTTTATACTTTCCTCTCCTCTCCCTTCTTTAATACAACCATGGTCACTCTATTTCATCACCCAAGAAAATTAGAGCAATAAATTCCTTTGAATTTTCTGTAATTTTGAATCATCTATTTTTTTCCTATACTTAAGGACACTTTTCAAGAATTCATTATGGAAAATTATAAACATGTACAAAAGAAGGCAAAACACTATAAGGAACCTCCATGTACTCATCCAGCTTCAACAATGATCAGCATATGGCTACTTCTGATCCATCTTTATCCCTCTCATATTATTTTAAAGCAAATCCCACATATGATATCATTTTGTCAGTGTATGTTTCATCAGACTCCTAAGAAAAATACAAATAAAAAAACCACTGCACCATTATCACACCTAAAAACAAAATTGACAATAATACCTTAATATCATCAAATATCAAATCATGGTTACATTTCTAAATATCTTATAAATACTGCATAATGATATAATTTTTTAAACCAAGGTTCATGCATTGTGATTGGTTGAAATGTCTAAGTCTCTTTTAATCCAGAGAGTCCCCCTCCATCTTTATTTCTAGTAGTTTTGAGGGCACTTTCTCAGTTAACTGGGGTTGAGTCCATCTCAGGTAGGCACTGATGTTTGCTGACAAGGTAATGGGGTTCTCAACCACTGGAGACAGAGAAATTGAGGAGACCATCAGCACAGTAAGTGTGGGAGCTCCTTCTCTGGGGCTTAAAACAATGCCACACAGTTAGGAGAACCCCAGAGTCAATTACTGGGACCAAGCACTCATCTTTGGCAATAACTGAAGACAGACTCCAGAGGCCAGCAACCTTGGTACTTCTGGTATCTTCTGGAAAACAGACAGCACTTCAGAAGCTGGCCCTGGAGTGACTCACTGTCTGGCCTGAACTGCCTGGGATTGGAAGGAAGTGGTGAACCCAACAAGACTTGTTTAGATGGAATAAATATGGGACCCATGTTGCCAATGAACTGGGGTATGGGGAAGGGAGTATGAAGAAGCCCTTATGCATTTGGCATTAAATAAGTGAATGTGAAATTAACTAAAACGATTAACTGCTCATCAGATAGAAAGATGGCCAACAGGTTGTAACCACATTAGAACAGGATAGGCTCATAAACGATAATGCTGGGACATTTCTTGGCTTCCCAAGTGCCCTGGGTTTACCTTAAAATAGAGCTGTCTATGAGATTACAGAAAGCAATCCTGGA